GCCCAAAACCTTGCATAAGTTAATGAACTAAGACTGAGATAGCAATGATGACCCAGATGATGGTTATCCCTCCTGTACTGTGGCCCGGAGCACATGGTTAGATAAATGGCTAGGTGCTCTGCACCACGTTTTAACAGCGTTACCACCAAACTGACGTGATACTCCTTTGTGTCTTTCAGCTGCCTCAGGAGATGTGCAGACGTACCAGATTCGCACTGCCCCTACCAGCACCATTGCACCAGGTGTAGTCATGGCATCCTCTCCAGCACTTCCAACCCAGCCTGCAGAAGAAGCTGCACGGAAGAGGGAAGTGCGTCTAATGAAGAACAGGCATGTACATTTAGATCACTTTTTTTCCAGTCAGCTCTGCATAGAAGTAGGTGTTAAGTACGAAGAATCGTGATCTTTCTTAGTCATTTTATGAAACGCTTTCTGAAGAATTTGCCTTTATTTCAAGATGCAAAGCAAAGAAGCACATCTGCTGATGCCATGTATTGTGACTATTAAACCTTAAGCAAAGGTGTCAGACTCGTCTGTGAGGTGTGTGAATTTGTTTCCATAAGGAGAAAAGTCATTGGTGAGAGACTTGTATGACTGCAGATATGTTCTTACAACACTGAGGTGAATTGATTTTTTTGAGTTAATACATTCCTGTAGTTTCCTTTCCTGGAATCTTTACCTTAGCCTTCTGCATGCATTCTCCTTGCTGCTGGCCCACCTGCAGTCTTCATGGGTGCTTTCTTGATTGTCTCACTTGTTCTTTTTAGCTGCTTGCCCTTTGGGTTTTTTCGTCCAGAGACAGAAAGACTCAAGGAAAGGCTAAAAACGAGAAGCTACTCCTTTTGACATCTTGTGGAGCCAGCAGTGGCAGCAGAGGGGCTGAAAAAGAGAAGAGACTTGACCCTGTAGGATTTAATGTGTGAGCAGGAACAGCCAAGCCTACTGAGGTGGAGCTTGGTGGAGGCAGTGAAGGAAGGGAGCAGCAGTGAGAAGTTGGGATGCTCCTTAAGCCTACTGCTGTGGGAGAGGGAAGGGGTGGGCCTGAGCTGACCCCAAGCTTGAACTCCATCCGCAGGGCAGAGATTTAAGCCTCTACATTATAGTGTGACACTGGGAAAACAGCAGTGCTTCGCTCCCCTCTGAGGAGGGGAAGCCCCGTGAAAGCACTGTTTACTTCATCTGTCAGTCTGAAAAAACTGATATGTTGTACAGATACATTTATCTTCTGTAGATTGCTGAGCTGTGAACACAATAGAAAGTTACATGAGCAGACCCAGTGCTAATGAAGTAAATAATGCTGAACAGCAGAGTTCACTGTTCTAAAAGGTTTTTGTATAGAATGTCACCCATTTTCCCTTTTTATATATTTTTCTGATACAGGTGAACAGCAGATATCACTCTGTATTTGAGAAAAAATTAATTAGCATTCTGAATCCCCTTATTTAGTCAGCAGTCTTAGTCCAGTAAAAAAAAGCTTTTGTGTTTGGGAAAGACAAGAAAAACAATGGGGAATTACCCCGACTTGAGTTAAATTGACAGCTTTTGCCACAGTATCATGTTGCATGTGGTGCTTTTAGACTGCCTGCTTAATAGATATGTGCAAATCTAGGCTCCATAGCAAAGCAGGGGAAAGGCATAGAGAGAGGCAGATGGTGAGGTGATACTTATTGAAGGATTGTAGCGTAAATATTCATAGATATTATTGTGCAAATTTTCGGTGTAAATTTTGCATTTTAAAAGCTCTCATAATTCAGTATAACTCTAGCTGTTCCTAATGAATAATTAATGCGCACAAACTTGAGGTGGCTTAATATACAGCCCAAGCTGGCACAAAAATCACGAAAAGAAAGAAAAAGTTGTCATCCAAGAAGACAGGTTAGTAGTTTGCACTGGGAGGAACTTCCTGACCCAGTCGTACTTAAAGTTTGGTGACACAATTAAGAGGCCAAAATTACCTAAAATCTAAATGTTGTACATGGCCCACTAAAGTGCTGCAAGCATGTGACATTTTATTTGTAAGAGTGACAAATGCATACCTGAGTCCTTTCAGGGCTTACAAACTAGGTTTTCTTCATCCTTTCTTGTTTGTGGAGCTAAGTTTCAAAAATTACTTTTAGAGTCTTCTTACCAGGTAGATCCTGGAACAGACATTCTTTTTTACCTAGTACTACAACTGCTATTTGTCTAATAATCAGAAGAGCTGGGTTCAGTTTTGTCCTCTCATTACCCAGAACATTGATGTGTCACCAATTACGCAGTATTTGCAGTGAAGGGACACTCAGATTCTCCTTTTGAAACTGCTCTGCTTTGCACCTGAAGGTTCAGGGCAAACAAGGATGTACATTTACACATATCTGCAGGCTGCTGCTTTGACAAGCTGCATTGCAGGCGGATAGCCCTCTGCCTGGACTCCCATCCACCTGCAGCATTTAGCCTTGTGCTTACTCTGCACATTGATACCATTACTGTTGCTGTGCAGGATAGCTTCTGCCTTGGTGTTACTGCCTTCAGGATGCTCAGCAGCATATTAATAGCTTTGAGGTATTTTTCATTGGTGTTCTTAGTATGTTACCGAGTTGCCTACAGGCAGCTAAGTCATTACAAGCAAGCCTTAAAAGTTTGATTGTCTCGAGATCTGCTTCAGCACATTAACACTGCCATGTTCTTGGCACAGCAGACAAGGACTAAAGACTGATATGGTTGCTAGTGACTGTTTATTTTGTGATTTTTTTTTTTATGTGAGTCATTTATATAATCATGGCAGTGATGCAGACATTATTAATAAAATGAATGTATTGCTTGAGAGCAAATACATGAATGGTCTGAATACAGCTTTTTTTGCACCAGTTGAACATCCTGACCATTAGTATTTGGTTGCGCTGCAGCAAAGGGAAGAATGAAGACTGTAAAGAGGTTAATAGATGAACATTGATCTTACCCATGCTTTTATTGTTCACCTATTTATTATAATAAAACCAATGGAATTAGTGCAGCAGCATTCAACTCGGCCTAAAGGCTCTACTGGAAATACTGCAAGCAGAATTTTGTCATTGAGTATGATCTTTTTCTCACAGAAGCAGAATTTTATTGGTGCTCACTTACTGGGATCTGCATGTTGAAGTGATCTGTGGATCTGGAGGGTGTGATTTGTGAGGAGCAATTGTTACAGACTCAGCTTTTTTTCCTAACTTGCATTTCTTAACAATGCCTCCATACTCTAAAAATTTACAGTACTAGGTAAAGGTTTGACCTGAATAGTTAAGTAACCCATGTCTGCAAGTAATTGTTCTGGATTTGAATGGCCTTTTTTGCTTTGCAGAGAAGCCGCACGTGAATGTCGCAGGAAGAAAAAGGAGTATGTGAAATGTCTAGAAAATCGAGTGGCTGTGCTTGAAAACCAAAACAAGACACTGATTGAGGAGTTGAAAGCACTTAAGGACCTTTATTGCCACAAATCAGATTAATTTTGGATTCCCATTTTCACTTGTCCAGGTGGGCTAGAGACTGGTTCTGGCTATACCCAGAAAGACAAAGCAAACTTTTTATTTTCTAAACATTTCTTTTTTTCTATGCGCAAAACTGCCTGAAGCAACTACAGAATATACTTCATCTGTGCTTTGCATCAAACTGTGAATGTTCAAGTACTTGCCTCCACTTCTCCCCCTACAAGATTATTTTCATCAGTCTCGGCGTGAAGAAGAAGAACAGGCTTCTTTTTCATCTCCCCATCCTCTTCAAGGAGGAACAGTGGTCACTTGGGAAGTTACTGTGGGGAGGGTCCTTTTGTAATGATTTCAAGAACTTGTGCTGAGCTCTTTCCATTGCCTTAGAGACAGAACCACCCCAGCCTCTTGGTCCAGAGAACAGTGGGCCACATACATGGAGCATGCATGGTGCAATGAAGAAGCAATGGTTGCCAAATTGGTTTCACATTATGAACTATAAAAATACATGGCTAAGCGGCATGCCAAATGAAAGGCACTTCACAGTCACGTTCTTGGTATGGAGATTATATACCTTTTTCAAACTAGCCCAGGAGGGTTTTCGATTTGTAATCTGTATTAAGCCCTCCTGGACTAGTAAAAACTTCTCCATACCTCAGAAAGAAATGCATTGAAATGAGCTTCGCTGATCGGTTGTTGCTTCTCGAAGCTTATGTGTGCAAGTGTGTTCAGCATACTGAATGCACAAAAAGCAAACAGCAACTTCATATGATATTGGTTGGGAAATTATATTTGGATGGGAAAGGAATTTAGGATAAAAAAGGTACAACAGTGACGTTTTCAAAACAGTTGCATAGTAAGCAAGGGTAACACATGAAAGCACTGCCTATTTGTATGCAGAACAACTAAGCAGTTGAAGTATGGCCAACTCTGCATACATACTCCCTGATGACAGTATAGTCTGTGTCCCAGGTTCTCTCAGCAGTGAGGTTATTTCTGTTTCCTTACCACTATATTACGTAATGGAAATTATTGTACTCAATGGAAACATCAGCCTGGTTTGCTAGATTCTTTTTCAAACTTTGAGGCTGCCTTCAATACACAAATTAAATTGCAGTATGACAACTACCAGGACAACTTCAAATATTGACGAGAACTTCAAACACAAATATTCCAATGTCTGCTTCGCAAGGGACAACATTAATTATTTGAACATGACCAGGCTAGCTAAATTCTTAATTTATTTGGTGGATTTTTTCATGTAAAGGGTCAGATTTACCAAGTAATTAATTCCTGTAAGTAACATTACTCATGTGCCTCAGATGTTTGCAAGATCAGATTTTTTGTGTGCACTGAGGAAATGTGATCTTTCCCAGATTTACATTGTTAAAAAGGTAGTTCATGTTTAAAAACAACTCTGTACTAAGTATTAGGACTTCAAAAGAATCATGCTCAAAAAGAACCAAAAAAAAAGTCAAGAAGTCATCAAAAAGAATGTGTCAAAAAGAATCATGTGTAGTTTGTTTACTGGCCCTCTGAAGCTGGTCTCTTGATTTATCAACTTGGGTCATTTGATGCAGTAAGTTCACTTTGGGCTTCTGGTCAAACTTTTATGTATAGAGACATATGAATAAGACTGATCTGTACTAATGCCTTGCCTAGCAAAGTATTAGCAAATATTTTTTTCCCATTCACTGTATCTGATTTTAAGATAAATTTCAAACTCGAGCTTCTGAAAGGTTATACCATCAATGTGACATTGTAAGAAGAACATTTGGAAGACTTGGGTAGTTAAGTCTCAAACAACTAAACAGTATTAAAAGTTGTAGTTTTCTCATTTGAGAGGGCATTCAGTTTCCAAGAGACTTTAAAGGGAGCAGGGTTAAACTTAGAGTGTTCTTGTTAAACCTAGAGTTATCAATAATTTCAAATTACATTTGTATTTCAAGAAGAGAACATAAGTATCAGAATTATGAAAGAATTCGTTTTCACAAGTTTTGAGGGGGTTTATAAATGGTCTATTTTTATCTGCCATAGAGAATTGATTTTCATGTGTTTATTTAATGGAAGATGAATTTATTAGTTTAGCAATGCAAATTTAAAGACCCTAAATTCTCAGCAATGCTTTTACAAAAATTGTCTGATTCTTGAAAGTTGAGAATACAAATACATACAACGGTTACGTTTTTCAGAACTAGTACTGAAGTAGAATTGTTGATAGTGCAGCAGTCATTCTTGTAAAACATGAACCTAACTTAACACAGTTATATAGTTCCTCCAGCTTTGAGAAACACAGAAAAGGCTGTACATGCCTACATTAAGGCTGTTTCTTTTGTAGAGCCATCTGTTTCCAAAAACTTGAGTTTTTGCAGTGAACCTAAATGAGGCTAGCTGTGATCTGAGAGCAGTTCCTAGTGGGTAATGAGCACTGTCCCGCACTTGCCGATAGTCGCTCGGCACAAAGCCTGGGAAGCTGAGTGGACCACGAAGCCTAAACCGGTACCTGGACGGGGTTCTTCAGATACAGGGTTGGTGCAAACTTGTGCGGCAGTGAGAGGAGAACTGTGTTACTGGTTTGTCTCTGCATGGTCTGCGAGTAGTCTGTAGTGTTATTAGTCTAGATCTCATTAGCAACTAACATTTCACTAAGAAAAAGAACATTATTTTGAAGTATATAGGGATCTGCAAGAATCTTTTATTTTTATTTATGCTGCACTGAGGATTTAGGGACTTGAATTTATTTCATGGAAATTTTAAATGACAATAATAAAAAATGTATTAGACCAGGTACAGAGCTGGCTAGGGTTACCCATATATGCTTTACTATTCATATTGACCCAAAAAGGGAAAGAATATGACACGGGAATCCATTCATATGTTATTTACCAAGTAGTGAGGTTGGGGTAATCAGCTTCTATAAACTAAGGCCATTTGGAAGTAGGACGGAAATTATGCTGGCAGCGGGGAGGGAGGGTTAGTTTTATATCTCACAGTTGTGAGTTTTCAAGAATTGATAGCCTGTTTTACCTGAAGAGAGGGTTAGAAAGGGCTAGATCCATTATGTTCATAATAAACAAGAATTGATTTGAAATATAATTTTTGTAATGTCATTATTTTGCAAAACAACAGCACCAATCAGGCAGTTAAGATATTGTCAGAGGTGCTCTTTTAATTTAGATATTCTTGGAAAATACATATGTATAATATATGTACATATATATATATACACACAGTATATAATCTACAGCTCTGAGAGCTTTTAAGTCAGGAATGCTGAGTATTATAGTATATGGAGGTCAGAAAAAATTTTTACTTTTCTGTGTGTGTCTGGGTGTGTGTGGATGTGTGCGCGTGTGTGAAAGCTTCCCCCCCGCCCCAGTAGTTCTGGGCTGCATTATTCTAGCGCTTATTACTGATTTGTTTTGTGCTGTTTTTCAGTTATCCATTTTCAAGAATTTTATTTCATCTTTCATGGCTTTTGTGAGGTTTGTTTTTGTTTTCTATTGAGACTTTTGAAATTATGTAAACAGTTGTTTTATAACAACCACCACCCCCCAGAATAATTCACTTTTGTGCTTTTTCTCTTTGGCAGCTATATATCAAAGGCAAAACAATTGGAAAGGTTGTTAAGGTGTTATTTTCTAAAGGAACCACTGGTAAGACTTCTGTTTTCCTCCTGGGGTAGTGGCGATGCATTTTTATTTAAGCAGTGATTTCACCATAATCAGGTAGTTGCCAGCACCATTGTTTGTATGTGAAAGCACAATTTTAGCCTGTCATGCTCATCAGGACTGTACAGACACCTGTAGGTTCTGGCTCTTCTGTAGGTGGTGTTTGCATTGCAGACCACTGTCTTCTCTGGTACTTTTACATTGATCAGAAAATTAGTGGGGTGTTTGGAATCATTAAGAGGCTCAGGTAAAAAAAAGTTAGATTTAATAAGGAAAAACAGCCCTGATAGTTTCTGATCTAAATTTGTACTACAGTTTTTGTTTTTAAATCTGGGCTTCCAGTAGACTGCAGGTAGTCATCTGTTAGTGAAAACTGGCCTCTGCTTTTCTACTTAATTTTTTTTTTTTAATTTATGACAGACAGCCAGTGCGTTTTGTGGGTTGAAGTAAAGACAAGTCTCCCCATCAAAGCAACTTCGTTATGAGTGGTTGCAAATCTATGACAATTCATAGAGGATTTCTTTGGTTTTCTAAGACCCTGTTTTTATTGTCATTTTTTCACCCTGAAGCTGGTTAGTGATGTAACATTTGCCAATGATCTAACCAAAAGGTCATGTATTTATTTTTGTTACACTATATTCTTTGTAAATGTTTAATTAAAATGTGCACTTTTAAAAAAAAAAAAAAAAACACAGAACAAAAAAAATTAAGAGCAATTGGGTTTGCCTGAGAAGCTCCCTGGCACAATTGTTGTAATCCTGCTGCCTGCACACAATTCACTCCTCTCCCCACAGCAGTTGACTCCTTTGCAAATTTAACTTGCTGATTAGCACCTGGCATCCAGCAGGCATTACTTCAGAATGGCAGGAGGTCTGAACTGGCAGTTCTGAAGACTGGAAAGAATTAAGTGTGTGGTGTCTCAGAGCAGTATGTACAGGATGGATGTGAAATTATTTTTGGAATAGAACTAGTTCAGTGATCCCAAGTGGGAAAGGGAGGTTAATTTGGAAGGAAAGCTAGACTATTTTTCAGCCACTTTATTCCCCTTTTCTTAATTTGAGATTTGGCTGCAACTTTTACAAGCTGCATTCCAGGAAAATAAATCAAAAGGCTTTCCAGTTCTTTGACACCAGGAAGTAAGGTACATTGACAATGTGTCACCCTGCTTTAAAAGATGAAAAAAAGCACAACCACCATTCATTTGCAGGAACAATTCCAGTTTAGCTATAACCCTGAGATCTGTCACTGTGAGCAGGTTTTAAAAGCGTACAGTACATTGATGGTTCTCTGTACTGCGCCTGGGGACTCGTTTCCCTGAGCTTTTGAATTTGATAGCTGTAAAAGACACTGATTTTGCAGAAACCTGAATGTATCATGAAGCTCAGTTGGTCTGGGAGGAGCCAGGCTGATGAAGAGAAACAGGGTGCTGAAATCCTATCTACTGTGTGCTTGTGACAGGTTCAGGTCTGTGGCTGGCTATAGCTTAAATCTGTACATCTTTGGGGGAAAGGGACCAGATCCAGGTGGTAAAGAGGGTTTGCATTTCAGGTGTTTTGCCTTGGAATGTGTGTTTTAAATGTATTTAAGGTCTGGCCTGCAAAGAGACTTGCTTGGGCTAGTTTGCATAGCACAAATTGAAGACAGTGGCTTGTCTGCGTTCTGGTACTGCAAGTGCAGCTTGTGACTTGCTGTGTCAGTGGTGAGTTCAGGTCTTGCTTTCACCAGCGAGAGGCAGGAGAAGTCGGCTGTCCTCGGGAGCTGCGTGCTGGCAGGGAGAGGGCTGGGGACGAGGTGCAGCGATCCACGGTTGGCGCGCTTCGTAAGCCGACCGCTTACGGTACTCGTGACTTGCGAGCCGTCGGTTCACTCCGTCTCAGCTTCAGCTATGTATTTCTTTAAACTAGGGGATAGCTGAGTGAGAGCATGGGGAAGGAAGGCCTTGAGCCTGTTAGTTATCTGGAAATGGCCACTCTTAAGAACTAGGGATGTTCGGATGCTCTCCACAAGTTGTTTTATCCAGGTGCCACTCCATTATTTTTTTGTGTGTGTAGTGACATTTATTTATATTAAAACATTAATTTTAAAAAGTTCTAGAGCTTTGAGTTTGTATGAGATTTGAAACTGTGCTGCTTATATGGACTTCTAGAGATGGGATGGGGAACAGGGCAAGAAGAGGTGCTAGCTGGCAGCCAACCCCTCCACAGACTTGTCCACAGACTGGTTGTTCGCTTCAAATAGGAGTTTTTTCTACTCTGGATTTGTAATTAGAAATTGTTTTGGAACAGCGTTTTTCAGGGAAGCTTCCAGAGCGAGGGTTATTATTCTCCCTTTGTAATGTAAGCTGGAAAGAGTAAGTTCACCTCATCTACATTTCTGATTCTTTACCCAAACCATGTCAGCACAGAACAGGGTATTTGAGCTCGACTCCCACATACTTGTGGAAGTTAAAAGACTAAATGAAAATCCATTATTGGGGGAAAATAAATTCTTATTTACATCTCCCCAAAAATCTAGAAACATCCCTGTTGTGTTGGGTTTTTTTACTTAATTTTTTGTGTTTATCTGTGTTTTTTAAAAAATTGTACTGGATTATAATGCATTTTATTAACACTATGTACATATTAGCTGCTTTGTGTTTCAGAATGGTAGTAATTGCTTTGTATATTAAAGTGATTCTTGTGAATTTGTGAATTATTGTCATAAAGAAGTGCTTTTTCTTACTGTAACCTTTGTGGTATAAACTGTCATAATGCCCTTTTTACACAAACATTTATGTGCAGTCACATAAACATGCTTTAAAAAACTCTACGAAGTCTCTTTTTTGAGCAGGATGTTCCATTTACACTAATTTGGTGGCAAGTCGTAGCTAGATAGGAACATAGGAAAAGGCGTATTTTAAGCAGACTGTAGTGTCCTCTCATGATCTGTGGCCTCTTGTAAGTATTCATGAGATATTTTCCCCAAAAGGAAGGCTTTTTTTAATCTTAATTAAATTGAATTAGGTAAGTGAGAGGTTAAGTCCTGAAGAACAAAGTTTCTCTTCAGCTTCCAATGTTTTTAAACCTGCTTTCCAGTATCCATTCTGGTGGCAATTAGTTCTGTTGTTTAATAATGTGTGAAAGACTTCCCTTTCACAGTTTAAATATGCTGTCTTTCCCACTTTTAAGCATTCCTGTAAACCATGTACTACTGATGTTAATAACAGAGCAGAACAGAAGGCAGCGAACACTGCAAGGATCACAACCCGATTATGTAATCTGCGAGGCTGGATCCAAACACTGGGATGAAAGCCAAGAGAACAAATTCAGCACTGAGGTAAACACACCTCCAGTGAAATCAAGGGGGAGCAGTAAGGTCAGCTCATTATGGCTGGGATTTTGCGGTTTTCACAACTGAGCGTTTTCATAATGCCATTCATGTACTTGCTCAGAAAAATCTACATCTCAGTGATGAGGGAGAATCCCAAACGGGGGTTAGTCCATGAGATAAAAATGCAGTTTGGCTTGAATTTTGCACTGCAAAGAATCCAGTAACACAGATCCCTGTGCAGTCAGCAGCTCAGCTGGTAAACCCGATTCTCCTGACACTGCTGCACCTTGAAGCTCTTTGATCATAAGTTACAGAGCTGAATTTCATACCTGTGTCGTAATATTAATTGAACATGACTTTAGTTGCAATGACATTTTAGAAAAGTTTGTTCCCTTGCAGAACGGTATGTTTCAGGGATGGTTTCACAATCTCACAGCATGTTCACGTCTTACCTGGTCACTTCCCTGTGACTTGGATACTCTCCCTAGGGTGAGTATTTTATTTCTCAAGAGACTATTTATGCATTGCCTCACACTGCTCAGGGACCCATGCCCAAACACATCCTCCCTATAGATGAGTTCACATCATCCAACCTGGTCTAGTTAAGATGTCCCTGCTCATTGCAGGGGGGTTGGACTAGAAGACCTTTGAAAGTCTCTTACAACCCAGACTATGATTCAATTCTATGATCTGTTACAAGCCAGGATCAATGTAATGGAACCACCCAAAGGAGAATCACACTGATTTCTCTAGTGCTGGGATGAACAGGGTGACAAAAAGTGTTTGGGCTTGTTAGAGTAATTGCAAAACAGTCGTGGAAGCATTACTGTGCATCATCTCCTACTAGAGCAGAAGCTCACCTGGGACCAGTTGGCCAGGACACCAGTTTGCAGGTGTCATTGTGGAGGGCTGCTCTCTCTGCACTCCTTCACCAGGCAATTGTGCCTCTGCTACTTCTGTCCTGCACATCTGGCATGGTTCATTTCCATCATCTCCCTGAAGCCTAGTGTAATGGGAATATAAAAAAGCTGCGAAGCCCAGCCTGGGACAACAGAAGGCACTGCTCACTGCCTGGTGCGGGTGGGTGCTAGCACTGCTCGGCAGGAGTGGGATGTAGGTTTCAGCTGAGTTACGTTCTCACAGTCGGTGCCTGCCCCTGAACACTGTAGCTTAAAAAGCAGCTGAACCAATGTGCTTGTGGTGGTGGCCTAGCCGCAGTATTCCTGGGTCTGGTCTCCTGAATCCAAAGGAGTCCCCACACCCCAGGAGCAGTCAGAGGAGAAGGTGTCCCCTTGAGGGCTTGCCACTTGCTGAGCTGGGGAGGGGCCACCAAGAGCTCAGCTCTGCAGGTCAGGGGCAAGGCACTCACCTGAGCTGCCAGTGTAATCTCATGTTTTTTTCCACAAGTATTTACTTACGGGCAGTAGCATTGCCTCAGCCTTCAAACATGCTCCCTTGGGTTTGTGTACAGCTGCTGTGCAACAGCAACACAGCAAAAGAAGCCAAGCCTGGTCTCTTCTGGCATATGCCTGCTCTCGCAGGAAGGCTTGAGCTGTAACAGCAGCAATAGGAAAACAGACACTGAAAGCTGCTAAACAATTAGAAAGAGATGCAATTAAACTGATTTATTTCAAAAAGTACAAAACATTTCTTATGGTCAAAGCCAGGCCTGGAGCAAAGCCCCCTTCATAAATGCGTGTAGGTTGCTGCACTAGCCTTTATTCTGTACTACACTGGGCTTTATTCTGTGCTATTTAAGCAGGCTTTTTAAGCATGTTCCTACTATGGCAACAGGGCAAGCTGCTAAGGCCAAGCACAGCCACGTAGCAGGCTTCCCCGTGGACCAAGTCACATGCGCTCACAAGCCCAAGCACCAGCACGCTGCTTTCTGTCAGCTCCAGCCCGGCAGAGTCTAATACACAGTGACCACAGACGAGCTTGGAGACAAGGAAACACCAGTGGGGAGGAAAAGGAAGAGGAGTGGTGAGAACTTACAGCCACACTCCAAAAACTACAGCCGGAGGGAGTGGGGAGATCTCATAATTTTTTTCAACCATTGCTCACCCAGTTGATAGGACAGAAGAAGCCATGTCTGGCACATTAATGCACATATCATGTTCTGGTTTTAATTAAAGCTGCTGTCTTCCTTCCTTCAACTTTAGTTTCAGGCTGCTAATTCCCAGACAGCTCCGTAAGTACTGTTTTAGTGACACCATGTGGCTTGTGAGGATACTGTAAGCAAGTGTTTTACAGCAGCAACTCTCAGGCTGTGTCCAGAGCCAAGTGAGGAACTTGGCTGAAAACACGTGAGAGATGCGCCAGGGTGAAGCACAACACCTTCAGGCCCCATTCATGATGTGTCATTTCCAGCTTAGATCTGCACATCACTTCTGGACCACAGACCCTGTGCAGTTTTTCCAGTTAGGAAGTCTGATGGAAGCAGAAGTGATAAAAGAGCTCCTAACATCCATGGCCCAAAGCAGCTGCTGGTGTTTGCTGTTGCCAGTGCCAAAGACATGCACATGCTTAAACCCTGAACCTGACCTGGAGCTTCATAAGTTAAGTTTAAAGTAAAAAAAATTGTCCATATCCACAGAAAAAAAAAATACTACAGCAATTTCTGCATTTAGAAGCGTAGCCATTTTCTGTTAGCCCATTGTTTTCATTCTTCCACCACTAGAAAGAGGAGGAAGTCTGCTGCTGGTGGAAGCCAAATTCCAGGCTGCAGCATTTTTCACATAGGATCTTGTGGGATAAACACACAGGTGTTTTTACTAGCTCAAGGTACACAATCAGTTACTTAGAACAGCATCTCACACCACTGTGCACAGAAAGCACACTGAAATCTAGACACTGCCCCAAGGTCCCACGTAATACAAGAATAAATATTCCCCCAGCTACAAAACCTTTACAACGGCACCCTCCTCTCCTAAATAACAGCTCTCAGTGTGAGCCACAAAGGCAGAAAGTAGAAAATTATTTAGCGGTACTTTCAGAGTCAAGGACTGATTTGATATTTAAAGAACAGTTTGAGTCTCCTTGTTTCATTTTCCCTGCTGGCACATGTGCTTCTGCTCCCAGGAGCCTTGATCTGTGCGAGGGAGAGTTATCTTGTTAGGGACAACCCAAGAACCATGACTGCTTCAGTACTGTAGGCATAGCCTCCATGCTTGCAAGTCAGGTAAGAACACCACTGGTTTCTATGTTGGCTTACTCTGCAATATTGATTCCCAACCCACCCCCCTACACAGATCTTGTTCTTTCTTTACGTATGCCTCTTCAACTCAGCAATGATAGCAACAGAACAACTTTATAGCAGCTGCCTTTGTGGGTTTTGCCCTTTAAGTGGCTTCTTTTACTGCAACTTTTAAGATGCAGAAGGCCTGAAGAGTTAAAGCATTTAGAGCTGAAGTCTTAGCTTATATTTCATACACTTTCACTTTTCTAGAATTAAGGAAATGACAAGGAGAAAAAAAACCCCACTCCAATCTATTTGTAAGTTTCTCACAAATTAAGTGTGGTTTGATTTTAAACAACAGACCTTTTGATGACATTTTTGATGCCTGGAGATTTCTGCAACTTAAATCAGTTTCAAAAATTACATTTGATAAAAAGTCAGTGGAAGACCCTATACAAGTCTACTGAGAAATGAAGCAGAGGTTTAATATGCAGAAGTACAATCCTTGCTGTATCAGACCAAGAGATCAGACAAGACCATCAGAACAAGAAGCCAGTGAAATAACACAACTGCAATTACATGCTTAGGAACAAGTGTATTGAGTAGAAACAAGGGGAGGATTGAGCAGCATCAGTGGTTTGCTAACAAAGCATAGAGTCAAAAGTCATCCTTGCGACTATCCCTCTGTGCTTTGTAGATATGAACATCCTTACTGGAATCATAGTGGACTTCATACACAGAGAAACGGCCTCTCAGCATCTTCAAGAATTTGTGATCCCGTTCATAGCGGATACGACAGGAAAGAAGAATCACAGTTTGCTCTGAGCACAGGTGCTCCAGCGTCTGAAGCAGTTCTGCAAAAGTTTCTTCCAGATAAACGATGTCTGCACCCAGGATGAAGTCAAATGCTCCTGGAGGGAAGTTGCCCAGGTCTTTTCCCCAAGTCAATTCCTTCACCACAGCTCTCGGACGTAGTTCAGGTGGTAAGTTAGCCTGTACGTTTGACTCTAGGAACTCCAGTGCTGCTGCCCTGTCTGTGATGGTAACACGAGCACCTAAGCGGTACAAGAGTGTATGTTTCAGACATATAGTTGATGTCCATAAATACAGCATTTGGAATACAATGCTTTACAACAAGTAGGCTTCTCAGTTCCTGTTAAACATTGACAACTCCCCTGAGCTGCCTGATTAAAAACAAACAAACAAAAGAACAAAACCAGCAAAAAGCCCACTACGTACATACATCCTACCCTTCATCAGTCACTTAAGAATATAAAGTGTATTCCACGGGAAGATTAAGTTGGGTAGGGAACAAAAGGTGTTTTCTGGAGCTTTTCCTTAGTGGATGAAAGTAGAGAAGTTACTTTCTGCCTTTCCATAGGTGGGTGACAACAGAGTAAGTTACAGGGATTGTTACAGTTAACTTGCTCCAATTCCGTATTTGTTCAGTAGGACAGATGCAGCTAGAGAGCCTCTTTCACAGGTCAGACAAAAGTTATGCCTGTGTGATTTTGCATGGCATGATTGTATTTTGTCAAACTGCTTTGTTTTTATTATTTCAATGGGCACCTTCCACAGCCACTAGAGCTTTGAATTACAAGGTTAAGCTGGGACAGCGCAAATTTAACATAGTACCCAGTCCTTGCCTCACCCACAGACAGATCACAGGCAAATCGCTTCATTTCTCCAGACCTTGGTTTCCCTGTCTGCAAGATAGGCTAACAAGGCTTACAGAAGCTCAGAGATTGGTTTCTGTCTGTAGCTTTATCTCTGCTGCATACGAGGGCAAGTGGAAGACACAAGCACAGCACTTGCTCCCTGGGGGAGAATAGCTGCAGAACCTAATGCTGCTGAGCTGAGTACCATGGCAACAGGCGTCAGCGTTAACAGGGTCCCACCATAAAGTAAACTGCAGTGGCACCATCACTACAATAAATAACGCAGCAGGCTCTGAAGTCTAACAAGAAAGGAAGATGACTCAGACAGGAAACATCATAGTTCACATATGTAGCTTTTGTGTTAACTTTTATACCAGGCATGTAGATGTAAAAGTGCCAGTTTTACTACAGTTGTAAATTGCTTTAAACAAACATAAAAAAGCCCTTACCTAATAACGTGGCCACTATTCCCAGCAATCCAGTTCCAGCTCCCAGCTCAATCACAGACCGATCCCTGACATCAATGCCTCCCATCTCCAGATAAGCACACAAGACAACAGCCTAACCCAAGAGACAAGAGCAATTAAGCACAGAGCTCATTTCAGTCACACTGAACACTGGATTTCTAATTTACACTGAGAGAGGTTATGGGAAGCGTCAGGCACTTCAGGTCTGCAGCAAGACTTTGTCCAGCCCTTCTCTGCCTCTTGTGTGCACATGTTGTCTTTTTATAAGTTTTATGGAAGACTCTTACTGGAAAAAGGAAAAAAGAACCACAGAAGCTACAACTCAGATGTGGCAATGCTGCTTCGTGAATCCCCAAATACAACAGGAGGCAGAAAGAGTTGCATTTGGAAAGGAAAAGCCTGGGGGGTGTCAAACTGGTGAATGAACTCAGTATTGCAAAAGTCCAGGATAAGGCTTCAGAGTATCTTGCACAGTATTTCAAAAGGTTTCTGCCCAACACTGGCACACCATCAGCATGGACGTAGGGAAAAAAACTTCTATCTGTTTGTATCTAACGCATGTTGTATTTTACAGAAATCTTGACAAGGAGCACTGTCCAGAGCAAGTTCTGTCAAAGCCTATGTCAGGAAGGACCAACAGCCTTGCACACCATTTCATTTGAGGAGTTTGCTAAAATTGCTACACTTGTTCTTTAAAGCTACAGGTAAAAGTGCAATTTGTGTGTGGACGGAGACCTGACCGTCGGGAAGCCCTTGGATTCCTACAGCGGTACTGTGACCTGCTGGCCTGCAGCCTTGGGCCTGCCACAAACCCCAAAACCCAACCGTTTCGGACGGTTCTTATCCCCAAGGTCAAGTCTATCAGCAGTCCTTCTCCACGCCACAAGCAATGGGATCTGTACTCTGCTCCGAAGGGCGTTAAGCAAACATCATGGGCCACTGTTAAGAAATGGGTGAGAGT